TGATAGGATGACAGGGCCCCGGCCCCAGAGCGGAGCAATCATCTGAGGAGATCCTCTCACATGCAGGTCTCCATTCATTACAGACATGACCCGGATCACCGGTCCATCCATCACCCTGTGTTTATCCAGTCACTGCCTGAGTAAACGACTTCATGAGGCTGATTAAATGACGACTGGAGGAAATGCAAAATGTCCAGATCATCATTTAATCTCTAACTCATATCCCGCTGTTTAAGTTGGGTCTTTACTGCAAATATCGTCTTCAGCATATCAATAAGGACGAGTGCGGAGGATGAAGCACCCAGCTCTAGCCTCGACTCAGAGGGATTTCATGAAAAGCAGAGGCTCTGAACTGCAGCTCTTGAAATGAGTGTGTCTGTGTGAGTTCAATGTTTTTGAAGGCGTTTCGATCACTTGATTGCTGTTGGCACTGTTTATTAATCCGTCAGAATATCTGCATCTGAATAAAAAAAGAGATAGAATCCAGGAGGGATAAACATGCTGATGAGGAGCCAGAATTTTTCAAAGAAATAGATCCTATCTGAGGAGAAATCAGGATTACTGCCGTATCACCAAAAAGCCAAATGCTCTCACATTTTAGGGGCTCATTTGAAATTTGTCTGTGTACAAACCACCCAAAAGAAAACCTGATACCAAACCCTGTCTTTCCATAAAACGATTTGTTTAGAAAAAGTAAGTAATGTTAAGAAATGTTAATTCCTTATGTCCTCACACATATATAATAGTATTTTTATTAAGTTTATCTAGGCCATAAAAGTTTGAAAGCCAATTTGTGAAAAAGTGATTGTAATGTTTTATCATCCAGTCGTTTGATGGAAGGAGTTTGGAAAGGATTGGGTGAAATCTGTCATGCAGGAGGACTAATGAAAAACAATCTTTAGCACAAAATGAAAAGACAGAAAATCTGTTAAGTAGAAATGTACGCAGCTGGATGGATTAATCTAAAAAAAATAGAAAATAAATTAGCTTCTACACGGAACAGTTTCTACAAACATCAAATTGTCATAAAGTGCCACATGCTGCTGCCATCAGATCTGGATGCACGTCAAAAAAACTAATTACAATACTTGTTTGTCTGGTGGCCTGAATTGATATTCCACCAAATGTCACTTAAATCTGCAGACATAAAAAGGAATGAGGTTGACATTTGGGGAATACACCCAGTCATTTTCTTTTATTCTTTTCTTTGTTGTTTTTACACTTTAATTTTTACAGTTGAGCTATGACCTGACAGTAGAGAAACTAGTGCCATGTTGGAGCCTCAGGTGAGATTTTAGACCGAGAGAGAGTTCTCGAAATGCATCGTAGATCAACGTCTTCTTCAGAAATCGAGTAATTGAGATGAAATGTGCAAGATATTGTTATGTAGCATTAATAAATAGGAATTTCTCAGTACTGACAACAGAACTGATAATCACAGTCAGGTCCTGGTACTATCCCTAATCTTGTGGCGCCCCCCAGGTGTTTTGCGTTTTCAGATACATTGTGCACATCTAAGGAATCACTCAACAACAGAATGTGATACATCTGAATTAGACCAGGATATGTACTGTCCTGTGGTCCGAGAGGAGCTCATCATCCTCTCAGCTGTAGATGAGGTGATAGTGTGTGTGGAGGTGACGTTTGTGTGTATATCAGTGTGTGTGTCGGGGATGTAAGTGTCCTTCTGCAGGCAGTAGACTGTATCTGACCCTGTCACGTTACAGGGGCAGATGAGCTGCAGTGATGGAGCGAGAGGGCGGCGTGGGCGTGACGGATCTTTGCAGCAGGGCGAGGAGATGCGGAATCTAACGGTGACATTTATTTTACACCGTGAGCATTTTCTTCGTTGAGGTGGCGTCGCTCTCCAACACCTCTGGATTTGAACACCCAAGAGCATACAAGCTTTTCTCCAACGTTTCTTCCTGATTTTTTTATTTTCTATTTTGAATCCACTCCAGATCACTGCATAGTTTGTATTCCGCATCAGACGCTCCAAGGATACAGGGCATCTCATCTGACCTCTAACACTTGAGCGGTGGGGAAACATGAGCAGACATTACAACTGGCCCAACACTAGCTTTTCACATACAAATTACACAGTAGCTACTATTACTGATAAAATATATATATATATATTACTAGGATACACTTCCATAGAAATGTGACGCATATATTTTAAGATATTTAATCAATGTTGATTGTGATGCGTGTTCATGTTCTTAATTTCAGCAGAAAAAACATTGTCCATGGTGTTTAATAAGACGTGAGATGTGAGCGCTGCACTTCAGAGGAGACGCGATGGTTCAGTGAGATGTCTCCAAACATGGACAGTGGTTTAGTGGTTGGTTGTCCGTCAAAATAAAACTCCATGATTTCCTCGGCCTGTTAGCTTTGCTTTGTTGCTCTCTGGAGGGAGTTTCTGACACTTCCACAGACACCTTCCAACACCTTCCGGCAAATCCTCTTTTTTTCGTCTGCACTTGTAAACACATTTATTTTTTTATTTCCCCTAAACACAAGCTCTTTCTAATCTTAGCCATCTTAGTATAGATGCATATCAAATCTGTTTTTCACATTTATTTCTGCGGTCCAATCGTAATGGACGAGGTGTCTCCACTTCCTCCCACTATTCAGAAAGGAGGCCAAAATATCCATGATACAATTTTTGAAATTGGTGCAAATCTTTGAGAAAAATATATTTGACATGTATTTTGACTTTTTTATTTGGCCAATGCCCCATCAGCTAACATGAAGGAGGCAGGATTTATAACCTTTACTGCAGCCAGCCACCAGGGGTCGATCAAGGCACTTTGGCTTCACTTTTTGGGGGCAGTCATGTTGTCGATCTTTATATACAGTTTATGTATCCGAACAGTACTAGCCATTAATGTTAGCTCATAAACAGAAACTATACACACACCTACTTCCTTGCTATGAAATGAACTTGCTGTTAAGTTGCATACGAGTCAAAAGATTGACTCGTCCCTGTGGTTGTCGTGCAGAGCAGGGATGTGTATGAACATTTTTGTGTCACTCAGGAAGATGCGTGACGTTGGGGTTCGGTGGTTCATGGTTATCAGGGGTATTCATGTCGCCAGCAGACAGGGTTCAGTCGAGGTGAGATAGACGTTAACTCAGAGGAGCGCAGTCAGGCTTGTGGCCAAATGCTGTCTGCCTAATACCGGCGAGCTGGTCCGGGAGGAGCAGTCGCAGCATCTGGATAGTCAAGCTCCATTAGACTCCCGGCTCTGTTTTACACCGGCTGCGTTACAGCCTTGTTGACAAATGGCAGAAGAGGTGGTGTGTGATATGAATCACATAACTCTGGGGACCTCCACCATGAATAGCATACCCCCCTCACTCCCTGATCTTTTCCCCTCCTCCCTTACCACCCTCGTGTCTGGGCTTGCTGTGAAGCCTGGCTGGGATTCAGTGGGACAGCATTAGTTCTCAACCTTGGTGAAGGACTAACTGCAGCCTCCGCCTGGTGTCCTTGCTGTCACCCTGCTGCTGGGAGAAGATAAGCACTCCAGCCTTTGGGACACGCTGTAGGGCTCCCTTGGGTGTGAGCTGGGTATTTCACGAAGCAATGCAAGCAACAATTAAATAAGTAAAAAGTTATCTGACGTGTGACATGCCATCTTTGTGTCTTTGATGATGAGGTAGGATGTTTTGCGGAGAATTTTTTGACATTTTTTGTACCCAAGATTTTGCAAACACAGATTCTGCTCTTGATTTAAGGGCTTTAACAATTATCCCTACTCCTTGTGCACTGCGGCGTCACCCCGAGAGTTCTGTGTTAAGGCCATAACCTTTAAAATGCCATGAAAAGATGCAGATCAGAGGAGAAAAAGTAATTTAACTCAGCAGTGGGGTGTTAACATTTCATACGACATGTTTAAAGTTTATTTTTCTCCTCCTCGCATCAGTCATCGCTGACATCCAGCCGTTTGGGAAGATTTTTCCAAAGATAACAAACACTGATGCTGCCCCTCGTGTGTATGTAGCACCTAGATGTTTTCACTGCTACGAAGAAATATATTTCCCTCTCAGAAACATTTTCCTCTGAGGTTGAAATCTGGAGAACTGCGGCGGCTCAGCTTGCCTCAGCCTTTTAAAGCCATCCGCTGGCTTTTTGACTTGTCCTTGTGTGGCCTGTAAATTGTTCATAGTGATATATTAAGCTGCTGTCACTGCACTGTTAAGTAGACAGGTAAGGCTGTGTGTGTGTGTGTGTGTGTGTGTGTGTGTGTAAGAATTAGGTTTATTTACTGGGTTGAGTTGCTGAAATAAACCATGCAGTGCTATATTTCTTTCAAACACACCGGAGTGCTGAATGATGGTGCACACGGGGAGTGGCTGTGGTGGGTATTGATGTGTAATGCCCTTGGACCTAAGCCAAGACGGTGAAATGGAATGAAAGGAAAGTAGTCACTCCCCTGTTAACCCAAGGTTGTATTTTACCGAAGCTATATCTGTCTGTGTTGTCAACGCTGCGCTTAGTGAATGTGCTCTATATGTCTGCTGCTGTATCTATAAAAAAACATCAAAATCACATCCGCCCGCCGACTTTAAAGATTCCCACCGATTCTCTTCTGTTCTTTCGCCCCTGAGGCAGATGCTGCATGTCGTGGCTCATCCACAAACTTCTGAGCTGGTGGGAGGCTGGCGTTTCATACTCGCTTTAAACAGAGCCAGAGAATGAGTCCTCAGTGATCGGGACCCCTGCCAGCTCGCAGAAGTGGCAGCTGATCATCCTCGGTTAATAGGCGCTCATAATCCTCTGTGAATGTCTTATGTTGTCCCACGAGACGAGCGAGACTAAGGCATGTATTTGCAATCAGTGAGCATTAAGGGCTGACAGTTTCACTGCTGCCATAACTGTAATAAACCTACCCACTGATTGCATGCTGAATGGAATGAAAACAGTTTTTTCTTCACCTCTAACAATGGCTCTCCCTTTCTTCCTCCCCCGCTGCTGCTTGTCATTGCCACAGGAAGTCGAGGTTAGTGTCTCTTGTTGTTTACAAAGCACTGTCTGTCTTTTCCCTTTACATCTCTTTTTCGGTTGTAGGTGTCACCTGCCTTATGAGTAGGAGCTCATCCTGCCTGCGGAACAAAAAATGCGAAATTGATCTTGGACAAAAGCTCAGCATTGCAATGTAAAGACAAATAAATAAGAAACAGTAACAAATAAAACAGAAATAGCAGCTTCCTAGAAAATAATGTGATTCTTACATGAAAACCAATTTGTCTTTTTGGACAGTCAACTATTAATCCCATGCAGAAAAAACAAGAATACACACTAAAACTGTCCCTTTAACTCCTCACCCCATGCACAGTATTTAAGACGCCTCGTCACTTTGACTTGAGAGCTCTGTCTCTGCGTCCCCTGAGCATCATAAGACCAAGCTGAACTGAACAGACCGGATCCTCTGGGTCCTCTCCGGGCCTTGCGCCGACTAGAAACCGCTTTATAGTTGATCCTCTCTGTCCTGACAGAAAGAAGTGGGTCAAAATGGATACGGCGTGGGGGGACGCTGAATTTTTATTATCGTTGCAGCGCAGCGTCGCCGGGGACCCAATCTTAAAAACCAGAGTTAGTTTGCAAATATTCCCCCTGCAACAGTGCGTGAGCTAAGATAGTCCAAGTCCTTTTATGAGATACATTAAAGCTGTCAGAGTCTTGCTGTGGTCGTTTACTTAATGTTAGAAGGTGCATTTATAACAACAACCACGGTAGTAATA